CTTTTTTCACTGACCTGAAGTGGCACTGTCGATAGTCTCAAGTGGCTATCAAGATAGCCTCACCAATTTTAAGTAACAAAAAACTCTGTTAGAAAACATGATCCATACTACGGCTCGGAGGCAACTAAATTGACGTATTTTTTTTTTTTTATTTCTTTTGAATCTTGTTTATGAAAAACCCATTAAGTTCTGCGATAATTGCTGTACTATTGTTGTACACTTATTCTCTTCTAACATAACCTCCACCTTGTCAAGCTCAGAACCCACAGCAAATTATAACAAGAGAAAGAGCTGTCTTACACATGATAGATACCTGTATACATATACACTAAAAAAATCCCTATTGATGAGATGAAAATACCTTTCCCACGCACACACAACCACGTATATGCACTTTATCGAATTATGTTCGACTCAGTTAACTGGTCTCCCTTTTTTGAACGTTTTAACTGAGAACAAAAACTTCAATTAGCGTTTGTTACAATCGGTTGCATCCCTTCAACGATTAGAGAGAAAATATTTCCAAGCTGCATGTTGCATTATGTAACAACTGGTTTATTATTTGATATTTTTCGATGAAAATTGAAGGTGTTTAAAAACTTTTTGTGCAGACTGTTAGTAGCAACAGTCCGTCCCAAACAGGAGTTACCTAAACCTATTGTACGTATCAATTATTACAGGAGTATATTTACAGAGCATATATTTTACAATAAAAAGAAAATATGAAGCAAAGTAGAATTATGGTAATGGAAATAACAAGTAAGTAATGCAGTAATTAAAAAAAACTAGCATATGATAAGTTCTTGGAAAATGAGACCAAGGAAAACAAAGTGATCCTTCGCACTATACGAACACTGTAAAAGATTACATCTTCTAGCAAAAGCTTGGTATTATGGTTTTGACATTTAAGATCATCAGAATATGACGCTTCAGAACACTACAAGCCCAGTTAAGATTAATGGAAAAAGAGACAATATTTTGTAGTTCAGAAAGGTGTAAGACAAGGGGATCTTCTATCAACCACGCTGTTTAATTTTGCCCTTGAAAAGATGATAAGTAGACTTCGGCAAATATGCAAATAAAAATGTAGAAAATATGCGCATAAATATGCACGTGTTTACCCGAAAATATGCAAATATTTTACAAAATATGCATACAAATAAATAAAAAAATCGTAAAATAGCAACAATTTTATTTAAAAAAAAAGTGTACATAACTAAATATTTCCTACTATTCATTAAGATTTACATTTATTTTAAGTAACTACATCATTTTTAAGTATGAATAAACTTATTTAGAATTATGGTAACAATAAATGACCAAGTGGTGTTGAACCAAAACATTTGGTTCTAAATTAATTGTTTCCGAAATATTTCCAGCTAGAACACTGACTACTTCAGAAAGAATATGGTAACCTTTATTTTTTTCCATAGTAGCTTCAAATTTTTTTAAAATATCTTTTCCAATATATTACCTCTAACGTTCCGACAACATGACGCTAATTCTTTTATTAATGCTGTACTTTCGAACAATGACAGTTTTGGTGATTCTAACTGAGTAATTGTTTTTTGAACAAAACTAAAATTTGATTTTATAAATGAAAGTTCTTTTTGAAGCAAGTTACTCTGAAAAGTTGGTTTAGAATCCAAAAGAGATTGGGAACTTTCATCTGTTAACGTGTCAATTATGTTCTTTATTTTAACAAAATGATCTGCATAAAAATTAGCTGCTTCTAACCATGTTCCCCATCGCGTTAAAATAGGTTGTGGTGGAAGAGGAATGTTAGGTAGCATTTCTTTATAAAGTTGAATTCTTATAGGAGATTTAAGAAATACTTTTTTGACACTGAATATCATGGTATTTACAAGAGGAAACTTTTTTTGTATTTCCTCTGAAACTCTGTTTAATCCATGCGCTACACAAGTAACATGTATTAAATCTGGGAAAAATATTTTTAAATTTTGTCCTGCTTTCACCATATAAGGAGCAGCATCCGATAAAATAAGCAGTAATTTATTAGAAGGAATAGTTGTCGGAAGAAAAAAAGTTGCTAATGTTTCTTGTATAAAACGCGAAATTGTTAAAGCATTTGTTTTCTCAAGTTGCTGGCATGAAATAAGATGAGATTTTGGTAAGGTATCTTCTTTAAGAACACCAATCAATAAATGAGCAATATACTTTCCTGAGGAATCAGTGGTTTCGTCTACAGATATGTAAAAATAATTATCTGCAATTTCTTCCTTAATATTAATTAACACCGACGAGTATAGCCCGTTCACATTATTTCTTCTTAGAGACCGATCACTTGGAACATTAAGTTTGCAATATTTTTGTAGAAACGAACTAAAATTTACATTTGCTAATTTTGAAAGCGGTATGTTTGCAGACACTAATGCGCGACACAAGTCTTCATTAAAAGTTTCTTACTCATCTAATTTTTTTGAAGTAGATTGGAAACATTTAGCCATTGAAGTTTGATGTTTTCCTCCTATTTTTCCTTTTTTTGCAATGTGTGAAGCAGTTCTCACATGTTGGTCTATCTGAAATTTCTTCTCACATTCTATCTATAAATAAAAATAAAAACCTTTATTTTAACCCAACCTTTAAAATATAAAAATATACAAGGTATTTTTGGTTAATCAAATAACTGGTTTGAAAAAAAAACACTCGCTAAGTGTTTTACATGCAGTATTAATCCACAAATTAGTTTTTGTTACTAACCATTAGTACATCATATAACTTATTTTAAAATTCAACAAAAGTTTTTTTTTTGTTAATTCAATTACAATAAAAATAATTGTGTTTTAGAATAGCTGACTTCATAAAAAAAAAGTAAAGGTGAAAAATTTTTCTAAATACACACCATTGTATTGTACCATGGACAATTTTTTCTCATTAGAGGAAGCTATTTTTCATTTAAAAACAACCTACGAGTACTAAATTTCAAGTAAATACGTTTATTGGTTTTAAAGTTATTGTTGTTATTAACTAAAAGAATTTATTTTTTTTAATTTTAACACCCTGTATCTCGAAAAGTAAATAAGTTTGACCCCTCATTAACTATATCGTTTTGTTCAATTTTTCGAGAAGTATCTACAGTCAAACGTTGTAAGTGTCATTTGGAAACACCCTGTATGTATGAAATATTAGATATTTAATAGAAAATATTAGATACTTACAATTTTGCCACAGACTGAACAGTAGATTTTTCCCATATCCATAGACAGCTCTTTATAAGGTTTAATCCAAGTTGAAGCACTGGTTGTTTTAGGCATTATAAAATCACAATCTTCCTTTTTGTTACGCACAACGAGTGTTTACGCTTTGAATATCAAAACAAAAATGATTTACAAATCTGAGCATCAAATTAGAAATGTTTAGGTACCTTATTCAATAAACTGGGAGATTTTGGAAAATCCCTAAATTAGGAACAAAACTATTAGCCGTTTACCTGCTGTTAAGATACAATAAATTGTAGATAGATTTGGGGATTAGATCATAAAATGCAAATGAGCGAACCCTTAGCGATTATCCAATAACTGAATGCCTCAGTGACCGAGACTTTCTAAGAATGTTGAGGGCTACTTAAATTGATCTTCTTTGAAATTGTAAATGTTTTGTACCTGTAGAGATTACGTACTTAGATCATTTCTTGATTAAAATGACTACAAAATTTTATACAAGAATTGAAATAAATTGGTATGTTTAAAAATTTTCAAATACAGTATAAAAATCTGAACTTTTATGCACTTTATGCAATCTTTTATACAAATATGCCAAAATATGAAATATTTGCATAAAATATGCACAATATGCAAAATATGCAATATGCATATTCGTCGAAGTCTAATAATAAGAGACAGCAATATGAATAGAGCGGGAACAATATTTAATAAGAGTCACCAGTGTCTAGTCTATTCTAATTATGTACTTTTGGGTAGGGGTAGAAAAGATTTATAAAAAAAAATCTTCTAGAGGCCGCAGGAAATATGGGATTACAGATAAATATAAGTAGATAAAACAAAATACATGGAGCTGAAGACTAAGCAAAAGAAAAGCAGAAAACTAAATATGGAAATGGCATTAGGGAGAGACATTCTAGAAAATGAAAAGGTGGAGGATTACATGTAACTGGGAGATCTTATGACAAATAAATTCGAAAAAGAAAAGGTGTGAAAAAAGAAACAGGTGTATAGGTAGTTTGCAAAGAATAATAAAATCAAAAAAGTATCGAGAAATACAAAAATAAGGCAGTATAAAAGTATCCTGTGACCTACTCTAACGTATGGGTGCGAGACATGGGTGTTAACAAAGAAACTACAACAGAAAATTAAAATATAAGAACAAAGAATATTAAGAAGGATGTTTGGAGAAAAGTTGACAGAAATAGGATGGAACCTAAGAACAAATGCTGAAGAGAGAATAAGCGATTTTGTCAAAGCTAGACGATTGTAGTGTCTAGGTCATCTTGTTAAAATGGAGGACAGTAGAGAGATAAAGAATATAGCATGGAGAACACCGGAAGACAAGACAAAAAGAGGCAGACCAAGGAGAAGATGGAGGGAAGCAGTTGCGGAAGATCTACAAGAAAAAAAGATCAAAAATTGGAGGAAAGAAGCTAGAGACAGAAGGAGATGGAAGAGATGGCAGAGAATCACTAAGTTATGGATCTGAAACGGCATGCTATAAGCTTTTATATACATTTGTCTTTGTTTTTTGACATAGAAGCTCGCTCCTCTGCCCTTATTTGTTTTATATTATTAATGATAATATTAAAAAAACAGTCGATATAAATGTAATCGATTATACTTGTATATAATGTAAATATTATAAATGTTATAATGAACCCACACTTAAATAAATATGTTTAATATTTCTTTTTTCATTTTTTAAACTTTTTTTAAATTTTACCGTACTAATGCTCTAACAACTTCCTAATCGTCTACCCCTCTCGACGACCTAATAGCGATAATAAGCATAATAATATAATAATCGAAAACTTACAAAACTCGCATCTGTTGCTCCCTCCTCAGCAGTTCGTCCCTTCCAAGGACTCCCAGGATAATTTCCCGCTCGGAGTCCGTCAGTTGCGTCGCTTCCAGCATCGCGGCAGCCACGACGGGATCGGGGGCTTCGCCGCACTCTCCCGGCACGCCGAACGCTCCCGATACTGGCGGCATAGAGGCTGATCCCGAAGCTGTAGCTGATGCTGGTGCTGCTCCCGCTTTTGAATCGTCGCAACATGACATTTCTGAAAAATAAACCACGGTGAAGTTTTCATAGCTATACGCAAGAAAGATGTAAATATTTAAAGGTGGCGATAAAGCGTTTCACATTAAGAACGAAATGTTACGTAGATAAGGCTACGTATGTCTTATGGACGACAGAAGTGCGCCGATGTTACGACGAGCACAAGCACTATACAGGGTTGAATGAATTCTGAATCCTAAAATGATTAATAATTGATGAATCTTGAATGATTGGGCGAAATTTGTAGCAGAAATAAATTATTAAAAATAAAAAAATATCCTTTTAAATGAAACTATGCATAGAGGTTAAACTTTTTTTTAAAACATTGTTATGAAAGCAATTATTATTAAAAATGTTTATTTTTTCTTTAAAAAATCAAACACAAAAGTTACCTCGATTGAACTAAAATTTCTGGGGGTGAAAACTAGACTTACACTCTCTGCCACACAAATTAATTCATCTCCATACTGTGAAAAAGTCTGGAATGACAACCAGGGACAAACAAAACGAGGATGGAAGCTGCTGGGCAAACTGGAAACATGTGGTTATCCTTCAAAGTTGTTGTAGACGACACAAATCTCTTAGATACATAGAAATATAAAAACAGTGATTACTCTTTTAAAACTGACACATTACATTGAGTATAATTCACTATTTTCAACAAATTTGCAAGCTTCTTAACACCAACACCCACAGCGTGATCTCTTTTCAAAAATTCTCTCCAACCTTATTAACTGCACATAAAACTTGCTACACGTTTTCCATAAAAAGGGACAAAAAATACAAAACATTTCAAATTTGACGTAAAATTTGGACCAACACCTTTTCAGCTAAAAGTGGATTTTTATTTGAAACGCAATATTAAGCTGAAAACGATCAAAGAAAATACCAAAGAATATGCGTCTGTGATATATTAACAAACTGTATTTTGAGAACGATTTATAATTTACTGTTTGTATTTTGAGAACGATTTCCGAAGTGGAAATTGAAACGTCAATAAACGTATTTTTATCTTTAATTGTGGCTTATTCCCAGTTTAATAGTAATTAATTTACAATGCCACAAGAAAATAGCTTCAGAACAATATTAAGTTCTAGTACTATTTCTAAAATACGTAAAGAAGCTGTGGAAAGAAGGACTAAGACCCGTCAAAAAAAACGAGGCCCTCGATTTGTTATAGTGCATGCAAGTAGTGAATTGGGCTTAGTGAAATGCGCTGCGTTTGGGTTTTCCTCTAAAAAAACTCAGCAGACTATCATGATGAGATATATGGTCCTATATTTGAACAACAATTTAATCAAAAGTTGCTTCCTAATCTTCGGAAGAAAACTGTTGTGGTGATGGACAACGATTTATACCTTTAGAGGAGAGAAGGAATGATTCCGACATAAAAGCGTGTAATATAGATCAAATTAAGATATGGTTGCTGGAGAACGATATATTTTTTGAAAAAGAGGAAGTATTAAAATTAGGTCTTATGGAAGTAGTAAACACATTTAAGAAAGAATACATAAAATATAAAATCGACGAAAAATGTTGCCATTCTGACACTACATCCATACCATTATAAGATGAATCCATTTGAAAGGGAACAATGGTTAATGAAACAATTAATTAATAATTAATAAGAAATTAATTTGGTGTAGTAACAGTGGCCAACTGGAAAAAAACTATTATAAAAATTTTGAGGTTATTGATTGGTTGGGCGATATTGATTCTGTGGTAATAAATGTGACGGTTGACAATGATAGCGATGACAGTAATAACGATGACAGTAATAGCGATGACTAATAGAGATGATTTCGATGATTTCGTAGAAACGCTACTGATTTGCTTGAAGAAAAAGGTTTACAACCAATGCATACTGCCAGTAATAACATATGGTTCCGAAACAATAACTTTAACCAAACATTCTGTAAATAAATTGAGAGTAACCCAAAGAAAAATGGAAAGAGCAATGTTGGGAATAACTAGAAGAGATCTGGTATCAAATAGAATAGTGAGAGAGAGGACTAAAGTGACAGATGTCATAGAAAAAATTGCACAAGCCAAATGGAGATGAGCTGGACATATAGCACGTTTAAATGATAATAGGTGGACCAAAAGACTCATAGAATGGAGACCTAGAGAAGACAAAAGACACCAGGCAGACCACCAAAAAGATAGATGGACAACTTGAGAAAAACAGTCGGAAATTGGATACAGAAGGCGCAAGATAGAGAACAGTGGAATAACATAGAGGAGACCTATATAGAACAGTGGATGCATTTATTGTACTCGATGGCCTTTTCTGTCATTTGTCTTAGTACAAATACGCCGTCTACGCAGGATCTTCTGGACCTGAATCCTTGTTTTTCATCTGATAAAGTTGTCAGTTAGTTGATTTTGTTGGTTAGGACTTTTGTGGTAAGTTTAAGTGCGGTAGATTTATACCTCTATAATTGTTGGGGTTTTCTTTATCTCCTTTCTTAAACATTGGTATCATTGTGCTGTTTCTCCATGCGTCTGGTATCTTGCCGTGCAATATTAGTTTTTGTATAAGTTTTGCCATTCCTAGAGTTATACTTTTTCCTCCGTGTCTTAGAAGCTCATTGGTTATTCCATCTGGTCCTGGTGACTTTTTATTTTTGAGTGAATCTCTACTTCCTGAAAACTGTTTTCTATTTCGTGTCTTAACTCAGGTTCGTTATTTTAATATATTGTAGGTTTAAATAGGTCATCTTATATGGCAACGTCGCCGGCATATAACGGCAGACTTAGAATGAAAACAATCATAGATATAATATGTGTAATTGCGGATTCTAGGAGATGTTCTAATTCGAGCGCTACGTCAAAATAAATTGCGGCCGACACAAAGCGGCACTTTGGAAATGAGATGCATCTTGTGATAGAGATAGATATACACGCTGTAGGCTTGTGTGTGATAAAACACTCACTGAAAACCAATTAATGCAATAGTGAAAACAATGTGCTCGTATTTATAAAAATAGTCAAGCTTCATGAAGTACATAGGTATATAGTGGAAAGTGTTTATGTTTAATTTTCAAATAGCTAGAAGGTAAATTATGTTTATAATTCACTGTTATTTTAATTTTTTGGATTTTTGGTAGCTTTCGTTAACAAAAACTGATTTAAATTGCTGGTATAGAAAATTCTGGATAATTTTAGTTAATGAAATATTACGATAATGGAAACTGTGGAAAATTTAGACTTTAGTAAATAAAGCAGAAAAGCGTGGTCTTTACTTAGAAGACTTGGTAGTAGCAGACTCCCAACTAGAGACATAGTACCAATAGCTCCCAACAGAGTAGCCTCCCACATTGTAGCAATCTCAAGTGCACCTAGAGATCGTGACCACACCACCAAACTAAAACAAGAAACTAAAAATACTAAAGTCTGCATGCCCGCCTACATCCAAATACTCTGAACGAGTTTACTCCAGAAGAAATTATTTTAGCAATATCAGAAATTAGGTCTGGAAAGGCACCGGTTTTTATAAAATCCATCCAGAATTTTTACTCCACTGTGGCAAATATGTTAGGAAATGTCTGGCTGATTTCTATACAGATATGTTAAAATCAGAAGAAATCCTCAATTCTCAAAGACCAGGAAAGGCAAATGATCAATCCCAAAACTACTGACCGATTGCACTGCTGAGTTGTGTCTATAAACTGTTGAAACTCTTAATCTACAGAATTAGTAGAAACATATTTAAATTACTACCAATTAAGCAAGCAGGATTCAGACCTAAACACGGCTGCACAGATCAGATCCTATCCCTAACAGTACATAATATTAAAGCAGGTTTTCAAAGAAAACAAAAATATCCGTTATATTCATTGACCTATCAGCTGCATGCGATACTGTTTGAAGACAAGGACTAATCTGCAAACTAATCCGTGCCATCCCGTGTCAAAGGGTTGCTAAACTCATTGATAGCATGCTCACCGATAAAACCTTTCCAAATCACAATGGCAACTTTAATAATGTGTTCTACGAAGTCTCAGCAAGTGTTTGTAGTCGTTTTTATCTGCTATCTGTACTGTTAACCCCCTCAAGAATTTGTTTGGTGCAGTCCGCCAAGCGTGGTCGTCGCATTATTTTAATCGACAGATTCATCCACTCTACGTTAATTCCGCCTGGGAGCTGCTTTGAAAGGATTGATCGAATTTTGTGCGGTAGAAAAGCTTGGCATTGTTTTGTGATCAAAGAATCTCATGTTCGCACCACGTCAACGTCGTGAAATTTTGTTTCACGCTTCAAAAGTGACTCGGAATTGGAGCAAGGGAAGATAAATACTGGGTGGAGGAAGACTATAATTCTTAAATATATAAATATAAATTTAGTAAGTATATTTTTCTAGATAGAAAATCTATTTATTCATTTATAAGTTCCCACATTTAAAAAGGAAGGATTTTTTTTGGCGGTGCTGCGCGGCATCGCATGTAAGTAAATATTTTCATTACCGTATTATACTCTTCATCAACAATCAAATTTATCATTGCAGTTGAGTACCTCAACTTGGAGAGTTATGTTGATTTTGGAGTTCCGAAATAATTTAAATTTAAAATTTCCTTGATTTACTTGCAAAGAAACAGAGGTCATTTTTTTTATATAGTCAAACTTAAATCTGATCTTATTCCATATCTTATCAGTAAAGTTTTTTGTGTTCTATTTTCTTCTCTAACTTTTTTTGGTGGTAATATACAAGGTTTCTACAGCCTTCTGTGTTCTGCGCGAGTGTTCAATTTTCATGGCGCAAGCCTGTCCACGTCTACGAAATGAACTCGGAAATTTTGACATGTTACTTAACCTGTTTGATGTTTTGTTTTGGTGCAGTCAATCCATGCTGCTACACCTATTGAATTGCATTTATTAAATTTACATAACCTTTTTAGATTCCGTCACTTCACTTGAGAGTATTCCTCTTGAGAATATTCCCTCAAGATATGAGTAACTTTGTAATCCTTAAATAGTTAGCAACTCTCCTGGATTTTCG